GGTTCCTCGTGTCTAGTAAACTAAGTCACCAACTCAAATATACTTAAGTTCCCTCTCCCTTGTTTGTCCGAGTACCCTTTTGTTTATCTGGGGCCGCTGCCATGAATCGCGGACCCTGCTGACAATGTTCAGCTTGGTATCCATAAAGGATTCCACCTGTTGCCGCAGCGAAACTGCCCTCACATCCGAGACCTGGGAGGAAAGGGCTTTCCGAGCCTCTCCCCCACTTAGAATAGAGGAGTCAGTGTTTCCTCGAAGAGTGAGAGGCACTCTGGGGTGGCGGAAGCCGTTCAAGTAGAACGGCGTGAACCCCGTGGACGCGTGCACCGCGTTGTTGAGCGCAAACTCAACAACTGGAAGCTGCGTCGACCACGTACGTGGCGCTGCCGCGCACACACTGCGCAGGGTGTCCTCGAGCACTCGATTGACGCGCTCTGTTTGGCCGTCTGTCTGCGGATGATCCGCAGTGGACATCTGCAGACGAGTTCCCAGTAAAGGGAACAGCGTTTTCCAAAACGCAGCAGTGAACCGCGGGTCTCGGTCCGAGACAATCGTCTCCGGGAGACCGTGATAGCGGAACACGCCATCGACGAACAACCTTGCGGTTTGTTCGCCCGTCACAGTGACGGGAACTGGAGCAAGATGTACCATCTTGCTCAGCCGACACACGAACACCAAAATTCCGGTGTTGCCGTGTCCGTCGGCGGGAAGCCTAAAGATGAAGTCAAGACTCATCGACTTCCAACAATCAGCCGGTACGGGCAGGCTCTGTAGTGGAGCCGAAGAGTGCCCTGCGGGTTTTAACCCGCTGACATGTTTCACATGTCTTGACGTACCGGGCGACCCACTTGTACATGTGGGTCCACCAGAAGGACTGAGAGACCGACAGAAAGGTCTTCTCGCGGCCCAAGTGGGCCGCTGGAGGGCGCGTCATGCGCCTCCGCGAGGATGTCAAACTTCAGATCCTCGTCGTTGGGTACGACCACCCGTGGAGGATCAGTGGGCTCCACCCGATAATAGAGGAGGCCCTCCTTCAAC